ACTTGTCCTTTGTGTTGTTCATGGGCTTGTCGGGCAGTGATGTTTTGCCATCCTTAGGTGTTCAGTGAGCTCCTCCTCCCAACGGGAAGCTGAACTCGTCCTTTTTCTTTGTATGTGCTTTGACGCTCACTCAGTTCTTGGTGATGTTTCTCCACCAACTTTACAATTGTCCTGTCCTTTTTTGCCAGTGCACCTTTTAAGCCGAGGATTATCTCTCCGTTATGAGTATCTCTTTCTAGTGCGTCAACTAGGCATGCCACGGCCTCTTCCTTTTCTTTCAGGGTCTCTTTGTAGAGGAGCTCTAGTGATTCCTTTTCCTGCTGCAGAGCGACAAGCTTGCGGTTCTCTTCAACCATGTGTGCTGTGGAACTTGCAAATGGCCCGCTTAATGAGGAGTCAAGTACCTGTCGCAGAATGCTAAGCTCATGGTCATGTTCCAGTTGCAGAGCGGAAAGCTCACGGTCCAGTTCCTGTCTCCGAATCTTAAACTCATGTTCCTGTTCCTGTTGCAGAGAGACAAGCTCACGTTCCCTTTCAACTGCGTTTGCCTTAAGGGTTGCCATCTGTCTGTCTTTTTCTATCAGCAAGTGATCCAGGGCATCATTTTTTTCTCCATCTTGCTTAGCTAGTTTTCTTCCTTTCCGGTTCCTCGCGGGTTCTCTGATAGCGGCTCCTCTCTTATGTACCTCCTCTTGAAGCGCAAGCCCCTGTCCCTTCATTTTGAGCTGAACAGATTCCAGCTTTGGTTGTTCCTTATATTTGTCTGAAGGTGTAGAAATTGATGTGTCATCAGAATCTGAATCACAGTCTGTTAGGACTTGATCTGAAGGTAAGGAAATTAAACTTCGATCAAAATATGAATCCGAATCTGAACTTTTATCATCAGATGTATCCACCTCTTTTGCTTCCTCTGATTGCGTTTGTTTCTGTGACAGACTTGGTTCCCTGTCCGTTTGGTCACAGATTTTGAATCCTGATTCTAAATATTTTTGTTTCTGTGTCTGTTGGTCAGCACGGTTGGATCCCTTTTTAGATTGTATTGGTTTTAAGGGTTGGATTTTAGGAATTGTTTTTACTAATTGTTGGAAGGAATCTGAACTTTTATCATCAGATGTATCCACCTCTTTTGCTTCCTCTGATTGCTTTTGTTTCTGTGACAGACTTGGTTTCCTGGACTTTTGCTCACAGATTTTGAATCCTGATTCTAAATATTTTTGTTTCTGTGTCTGTTGGTCAGCAGGGTTGGATCCCTTTTGACAATGAACCATTTCTGAATGTGTAGAAATTGATTTGTCATAAGAATCTGAATCACAGTCTTTTAGGACTTGATCTGAAGGTAAGGAAATTAAAATTTGATCAAAATATGAATCCGAATCTGAACTTTTATCATCAGATGTATCCACCTCTTGTGCTTCCTCTGATTGCGTTTGTTTCTGTGACAGACTTGGTTCCCTGTCCTTTTGGTCACAGATTTTGAATCCTGATTCTAAATATTTTTGTTTCTGTGTCTGTTGGTCAGCAGGGTTGGATCCCTTTTTAGATTGTATTGGTTTTAAGGGTTGGATTTTAGGAATTGTTTTTAGGAAATGTTGGAAGGAATCTGAACTTTTATCATCAGATGTATCCACCTCTTTTGCTTCCTCTGATTCCTTTTGTTTCTGTGTCTCACTCACTGCTGACAGACTTGGTTTCCTGGACTTTTGGTCACTGGTCTTTTTTTTGGTCTTAGATCCGGATTTTGAACATACTTTTTTCTTTTTAGGCTTGGGTGTGCAGTCACTGTCGTTCAAGTATTCATGGGTGTCATTTAGCATGTCAAGATACTTTCCAGATCTAAATATCTCTATTTCGCTCTTTTCTGACAGACATGATTCCTCGCATGGAAGACAATCACGCTGGTTTTTATCTTCCTGTTCATCTCTTTTGAAGTATGTTTCAAAATAATCAAGTTCTTTTTTCACATCACTGATTTTCTTCACGATGGAATTTAATTGTTTTTCCATCTCCTCTTTCTGTGCTTTGTTCATTGTTGCAAATCCTGTACAGGTTTGAGGGTGAAAATTTGGTTTTAAATCCTGAATCTTTTGTATTAAATCTTTTTTAATATTCACCAACTCTGTAATTGACTTTTCTGCCTCTTTGTAACTATTAGCCACTTTATTTTGATATGAAAGATCTTTTGTCAACTTCTTAACATGTTCTTCCAAATTCTTGTTATCTTTCCTGAACATTTCCTGCTGGTTTTTTACAAGCTTGTACTGACTTTTCAATATTGTTGAATCTATTTTTTGTTCTTCCATACTTTCCAACTGGTGTTGTAGTTCTGCATTCCTCAGGGATAAAACTTTTACTTTTTCAGTTTTGGCAGTTATTTTCTCC